GGCTGCAGTTACTCTGTTGTCTACCATCGTGGGCAGGGGTGGGAGGAGACGCTGAGCATAATTTCAGAAGCACTATGGTGCACAGGCTGCATACAGAAGTGAGTTTTAAGGATCGATAATGTGTGTGTGTGTGGAGAGAGATCGAGAGAGAAAGCATTTCAGTGTGTGCAATTTTAGCTTAATTAGAATAGAGGACTATTAACCAGTTATTCTGAAATGCACTGAAGATCAGGAGGTGTATTAGAATTACATTACACTGTGGGAGGCTGATTAGCAGGCCATGTAGTGTGGGCAAGTTCCAATCCTGTCTTTATCAGCGCAGTTTGCAAAGTAGGCCTGAGAGCCAGGCCCCCAAACCTATTGAGTGTGGAGCTATAATTATTCAAGTTTAAAAAAATAAAGTAATGGGAAATGCGATAAGCAGCGATTAGGCAGCCTATTTCAGGAAGAAAACGAACAAAATGAGCAGATGTCAACTGCGGTGGCTTTCATGAAAAAGGATGGTCACACTTGCTTAAATGAAAAGTTTCTTTCTGTCTGTCACCTATGGAAGAAATTCCCCTCAGGGTGGTTCCCTTAGCATGTTATTTGCATACAGAATGTAAAACAAAAACAGCCACCGCCAAGTAGAAAGGCCTGGGAACAAGGAGAGGCTGCATTCAAAAGCTGCTGACTGGTGCAAGGCATGGAGTCCCTGCTGGGGGCACTGGGAGACTTCTTGCCTACTGAGAACGCCCCTGACCTTGTAGTAGCAGGAACTGAAATAACCCCAGCAAAACGGAGTCTGGAAGACAGGGTCAGAAGACCTCGGCTCCTGTTTTGGCTGAAATTCTTGGGCAGGAGCCCAGAGTCTACGTGCCTTTGAGGAATGACTTCCCCTGGGCTCCTGATGGCTAACCCCTCCATCCAGTGCCAACTGCATCTTCGTCTCCTCCATATTTTAGGCTAGCCAATCAGACCCTTGAGCCTTCCGGAGGTTCCACCTCACCCTCTAACTCCATCTTCATCTCTTGTATTCAGGATAGGAATGTGGGCTCTGGAGTCCCAGTGCTTGAATTCAAAGCATGGTGCTAATGATGGCTAGCTGTGTGACCCTCAGCAAGACCTCTCAGCCTCAGTTGCCTCATCTATAATATAGAAGTAGCACACTACTGGATAGGTTTATCGTGAGGATTATACCAGATAAATAAGGTAAAGCACAGACACTGTCTGCTGTTTATTAAGTGCTCAGTAAATACTAGTGAGTTCTACTGATTTGTTCTGCTGCTTGGTAAAGTACAGGGTCAGCAAAAAAGAGGGAGACCTGCAACAAGATGGAGTGACCCAGTGGCTGCAACAGTGGGCTCCACTGTGAGGATGGCGCAGGACTGGGCACTGTTTCCTTCTGTGGTGCATGGGGTCGCTGTGAGTTGGAACTGACTGGACAGCACCTAACAATAACAAAAACATATGGATGTGTCTCCTCGGAAGGAGTTCCCTAACTTCAATCATTCACATTCACATCTGCTATAGTTGCTATAATCTTCTTCACGTATTTTAAAAATCAAATCAGTTGTCTAAACTTGGCCATATTTTAGGCGATATCTGTGAAACCCTAGGCTTAATGTATTACTTTTTCTAATACATGTTAAAAAATACAAGCAGACCCACTAAACTGTATTTTTGGAAGGTTGGCACATCTGAAATCATGCCATGTGCCACTACACGCTTCACACATGAGGAAACCACGGGCGGCACGCACGCACTCATCTTTCCCCGTTCTCTCAGCAAGCTTCTAGACAGTTTATGTGCAAGTGGAGAAGTCAGGGCAGGAGAGACAAAAGGCATCTTCCTGCCCCCACTGAGCAAACGGAGGATAGGGAAGAGCAAGGAAAACAAGGATCGTGCTGTGTAGATCACGGGGTGCTCTCTCATCCTGCTGGGTGGGCCAGTCCTTCAGGAGACAGTGCAAAGAAGAGAAGCAAGCATCTCAGTCATTCCAAATTCCAGTTCCAGTCCATCTTTGCTTTGTACCCAGATTCCGCTTCTTACTTCTGTGAGATTCTGGGCTTCTTACCTGAGGTCTCTGAAGATCTGATTCCTCATCTGTAAATGGGCATAATATCTACCTCACAGAGCTGGTGGAGGATTAAATGTGATGCCACAGCAGATACTCAGTGAATGAGAGTTCTCAGATGATCGGTACTCACACAGGTAGACACTTACCTCTCTTACAGACCTACGTGCCCGGGCCTTCTCCTCTGTGTTGTTAATACTCTCTGGAATTTGCCTCAAAGTCTGCCTCTTTGAGAAAGCAGTCTTTGACACTAAACACTATACCCCACTGCCATCAAGTCGATTCCAACTCACAGCAAACCCTCAGAGTTTCCAAAGCTGTAAATCTTTACAGAAGCAGACTGCCACATCTTTCTCCCACAGAGCCGGGTTTCGAATCACTGAACTTTTGGTTAGCCCTGTCCTTAACCACTGCACTACCACGGCTCCTTCTAAATATTATACCAACTTAATATTGGCCAGAATGTATTAAAAGCCTTCCAAGTTCAAGACACAACTCCCAAAGCCTTGTATGGCTTCCTTATCATAGTGGTATCTCGTGTGTTGTTGTTGTTAGGTGCTGTCAGGTTGATTCCAACTCATAGTGACCCTATAGGACAGACTAGAACTGCCCCGTAGAGCTTCCGAGGGGTGGGTAGTGGATTTGAACTGCCGACCTTTTGGGTAGCAGCTGGGCTCTTAACCTCTATGCCACCAGGGCTCTAGTATCTTTTATAGGATCTTACAGATAGGCCTGTAAAATCCTATCTTACACATGAATTAACCAGGGATTTGAACCAGTTCATTCTGTTTCAAACCCCTGCTGATAATTTGCATTTCTAACTAATGCTGCTGGTTAGGGACCAATTCTGAGAACCAGTAGTACGGCCAAAACCAAAACCAAACCCGTTGCTGCCGAGTCGATTCCAACTCATATCAACCCTATAGGACAGAGTAGAACTGCCCCATAGGGTTTCCAAGGAGCAGTTGGTAGATTCGAACTGCCAACCTTTGGGTTAGCAGCCAAGATCTTAACCACTGCGCCACCAGGGCTCCAGTAGTAGAGCAGTGGTTCTCAAAATTTATTATACATAAGAATCACCCAGGGATCTTGTTAAAATGTAGATTCTGATTCAGTATATCTGGGGTGGAAATGAAAATTCTCAGCAAGGTTTGAACTGGTTGGAAGCCCTGGAATAAACTGAGGCACAGAGAGGTTAAATAATTTTTCTAGATCATGTAGTTGGTAAATGGTAACCATTATCATTAGTAAGCACTAAAATTGTCAAGCTACCAGTTAAATTCAACCACAACTAATAACCACAGTAATACAGGACCACATTGTCAACTCAGTGATTCTTAAATGGGATCAGCTTTGTCCCCCAGGGGACGTTTGGTAATGTCTGGAGATGTTTTTGGAGCCCTGGTGGCTCAGTGGTTAAGAGCTCGGCTGCTAACCAAAAGGTCAGCAGTTTGAATGCACCAGCTGCTCTTTGGAAACCCTATGGGGCAGTTCTACTCTGTCCTATAGGGTTGCTATGAGTCGGAATCCACTAAATGGCAATGGGTGGGTTATGGAGACATTTTTGGTTGTCATGGGTGTAGGGTGTGTTCTATTGGTATCTAGAGTGGAGGCCAGGGATGACGGTAAACATCCTGGAAGGTACAGGACAGCCTCTCACAACAAAGAACTGTCTGACCCAAAATGTCAGCAGTGTTGATGTTGAGAAACCCTAATGCCAGCACTTACCTGAGCATGTTAACTATCTAGAACTCAGTTGATAACTCAGAAGAAGCCACACAATCTCTGAGATTCCAAAAGAGTTAGCTCAAGGTTCAGGCAGAAAATTTCACAATATACTTTGTCACAAGGAGCCCTTTAAGCAATGCTCTGGAGTCAACTTCCTAAGGCACGTTCATCTGGCAGTGGAGATAAGGTGATTTAAAGCACCAAATGGGACTGTGTGGCTGAGATGGAAAAGAACAGGGAAGAAGTATGATGCATGACAGGAGTCAAAAAATAGCCAATAGCCTTCTAGAGTGAGGAATGGAGAAAATATCAGATGCAGGGATAAGGGGCAGTGGTGGTTCTCTGGTAGAATTCTTACCTTTCATGTGAGACCTGGGTTCAGTTTCCTGGACAGTGCACCTCATACACAGCCACCTGTTGGTGGAGGCCTGCGTGTTGCTACGATGCTGTACGGGTTTCCGTGGAGCTTCCAGACTAAGATGGACTAGGAAGAAAGGCCTGGTGATCTACTTCTGAAAATCAGCCAATGAAAGCCCTATGGATCACAACGATCTTATGTGCAACCAATTAGATGGCAGATTAGGTAGCATTTTGTTCATTGTGCATGGGGTCAGAGGCCAACTCGACAATGGCCAGCAGCAACAACATAAGCTTTTAGCAGCAGCCTTGGCTGTGACAATTCCTGGAGGAAGCAACCGTGGGGATGGAGGCAACTCCAGTGACCATGGGGAGAGGCTAGGATAGTGGCCGGGAGAGGCCACGTGGTCCTGCCGAGAGACTCCATGCCAGGACATGGGGATAAAGAATAGTCCACTAATAACATGTGCTTCATCTCATATTATTGTGCTGCAGTGATTGCTTTTGTCTGTCTGTCTGTTTTTAAAGAGACCTGAGACTGTCCGTTGAAGAAGAAATAAATCTGCAAATGTTTGAGAGGATTTGTCTTGTGACCTTGTCCGCATGAACGTCAAAATAACCAACGGAGGCAAATGGGCTTAGCGACCATGAACAGGAGCAGGAGGCAGGAAGCTGACCTGAGTACTTGGGCTTTATTCAATCTAATAAACATTTTATTCATATAAAAGACAAACACTGTATAGAATGAAAATAAGTGCTTGAGACATTTGATATAAAAAGAGTATATAGCATTCACATTCCTATTTTAATACATGAAGTGTTTCATAAAAGAATGAAACTTTCCCTTTATGTGTAGTAGTAAAAAAAAAAAAAAAAGGTCAGTATTTTTAGGAATTACAGAATGTTATTCCTTGGTCTTTTACCTTGAATAAGAAAACAACAACAACAACATCTTAAACAAAACAGGCCGTGGTATCATCTGACACTACATTCCAGTTTATGCTGACGATGACTCAGAAGTGATAAAGCTCTTTGAATCTTGGAAGAGCCCAGTAATGGACCAGTATTCTAGAAATCCATCACTAGAGGTCAATGAGCAACAGCTGTTGGGACGGCATCAGCAAGCCCTAAGATGCACATGGATTTTCCAGGTGCTTCCATGGGATTGCAGCCACCCTGCGCCTTACCTCTCTCAGCCCACCCCCACTGAACAGGGTGCCTGGAAGTCACATCGAATGCCAAACTTCAGGGTATCTCCTAAAACCCCCATGAAATGAGGCCTTCCAAAAAATCCAAATAGTTGTGCTGAGTTTTGCTCGCTGCCGGCCCCTCTCATATTCCTATTTGGCTGAAAATAAGTAGCTTCAAAAAACATTTTTAAAAAAGAGATTGTTGCTAGCAACATCAACATTTGTTCATGGGTTAACGAGTTTCCTATGGAGAATTAAAGCTCATTCTTTCTTCTTGTGCACGTGGACAAGTCCCTAACCGCAAATGGGACTCTCGTCTTCCACACTGAAGTTCTCGCTAGCAAATTCTGCAAAGGTTGGGAAGGTTTGCATCATGGAGGGCCTGGGAACCATAAGAAAAGCATCTTGGAGTAAAGAGCAATCAAAAAATTCTTAACATAAAAGAGACTCAAGTTAACCAGGGCCACAAAGAGGAGGTCCCCTTCAGTCCAATGAAAGGTCAACTGCAAGTCTTAAACTCAGATCAGGTCAGTGGGAGAGAATCTACATCATCTTATGTAGCCAGAGACTGCTTGGACACACATTTCTTAGAAGGCACCTTGGTTAAGGTCAGGTTTAATTCCCAGACTGGGGTGAAGGTGGGCATTGGCGAATGCCTACAGTGAGAACTGAAGCTGCTTTCTAAGTGTGTACATATCTGTGCTTTAAGAACGATGTGGACTCGAAAGAACTGGAAACCATCTGCTTTCCTCACCCAGGATTCCAATTGTTTTTTTTTTTTTTTTTTTTTTGCAAAAATTCCAAATATTTAAATAGTGGCTCAATCTTTTTAAGTGCTATGCTGGCCAAACAAAACATGTTCAGAGTGCCCAAGGAAATAGTCCTGAATGTGGCAGCATTGTGTCACGCCAATCCTTTCCACTAGGCTCACATGTGCTTGAGCGTCCAGCAGACCAGGAAAGATGGAATCCCTTGGTGTTTGCATAGAAAGTTAGAGGCTCAAACCAAGTGTGCTGAAAAATTAAACATGATGAACCTCGGGGGTGGGGGTGGGGGTGGGGGATTTGTTCCCTTTTAAGAAAGAGTGAAGGGACGGGACGTAGACTAGTGATACAGGTATTGGGGGAGACAGAAAAAAGAACGATCTCTCATTAGTAAAATGTGTGGCAAATAGAAGACAGCTTTCTAATCCCGCGGGTTGGGAAATTGATTCTGATTTTCTACAGCCTATGAAGGTAAAAAGCGGCTCTCAAAACGTTCCACATCTAGAGACAGGGCCGAGTTTCTGAGTCAGATTGAGGGAGCTACAGTGATTCACACACCAGATGTGAGGTTTGAGGCTCAAAGGAGAAGTCCGTGAGAAACAACCACACGCAGGAACCCTAGGCACGCCGGTCCCCAGACAGTGCAACAGTCTCTCACTCCACCACCAGAAGAGAACCCACTTGCAGAGAATTAGGATTTTGCAAGAGCAAGGGCAACATGGCAATAGCAGGCTCTGAGACAAGGAACCACTCTCCCTAATGCAAAGTCCCCCCTAACATCATCAGAGAACCATCGCCTGTGTGATTGTCAAGCGCTAATACTGTCGTGGGTGGCTACCTCCTCTGCTCGGTTTTAGAGCTCTCCAATAAAAGCAACTTCCTGGGAATTTTTGATCTTTTTCCTTGTCTGCTTTCAGAGTATGGCTGTGTATATAGATATAGACATATATATATATATAAAAAACATAGCTATTCCGTATTTATATACAGGCATTAATAAAGTGCAAATGTTATTGGCTATTGTAAAAATCCATCTCATTTCCTGAGGCAGTGCTAACACAGCTTATCCTATGACAAGGTCAAAAGCACAGAACGCTTCATGTCACCCGCTCCCCGCTGCGCCCAAGTCTGTGCACCCCCACAGCGTACAGGGAGGGGGTGACCCCCTTGGTTTTCCAGGAAGTATCAGTGCAGGGGCAGCTTCCTGCTGCCTCTGATCTTTGGCAAAAGGGGTGGCCCCTTTGGACTCGGTTCAGCCCACCCCGGGAAGACTATTTGGTAGTGTTCAGGGAACCATCTTCTGGAATCTTCTCCTCGGAACAGCTCCTCCCCGAGAGTCTGTCCAGGTGCTCCAGCTCACTGAAGCGCTCTGCCACGCACTGGGCCGTGAGACGGGCCTCGGGGTCGTGGTCCCAGCACTCGGTCAGCGTCTCACACACCATCTGGATGCCCTGCAGTGGGGAAGAAGCCCAAAGGGCAGTGTGAGTTGGTGGGCTCCGTGCGGGGGGGACGGGCCCTTGTTCCTGCAGTGCAGGCCAGGTGTGAAAGAGCCTGTGCATTAACAAGTGTACCTGAGTGCCCCTGGATGCCGGGCTCTCGGCTGAGAGGCAGCCCCTTCGATGTGGAAAGAGAGGCCGTGCAGGTGGCAGCTGCCCTGGAGGCCCTACTGTATCTATGTGCTCTGCTGCCATCTGATCACAAACAAAACCCAAACCAAACCCACTGCCGTCGAGTCCATTCTGACTCCTAGCGAACCTATAGGACAGAGGAGAACTGCCCCATAGGGTTTCCAAGGAGGGTGGATTCAAACTGCTGACCTTTTGGTTAGCAGCCATAGCTCTTAACCACTGCACCACCAGGGCTCTATTTGATCACAACAGGTCATAAAATGGAGAGACAGTACAAGGACCCTTCACTAGGCTTGTCAGGTCCAGCACCATCCCCAACACCTGCAGATATCCCATGAGGTGACCCCTAATACCACCTTCATACCTTTCTATTGTAACAGGGCTGAGTACCCCAGAGTAGTGTTTGGATATTAACCTGGTTTCATTTTGTAAAATCCACACATGCTCTGTGGAGTGACTTAGTAGAAGCTTCCCACAGCTGCCCAGGAGCTATGCCCCATTTCTTTCCAATAGCGTTAGGATGGGCCCCATGGAACGGTTGTCTCTGCAGGCTGGGTGTGCCTGACTCCAGGCCGTTTCCCAGCAGCCAGCCTGTTGTGGCACAAGCAGTTTGTAATCAACTGCTAACCTAAAGGTTTGTGGTTTGAACCCACCCAACGGTACTGTAGAAGGAAGGCCTGGTGATCTGCTTCCATAAAGATCATGGCCAAGAAAAGCCTATGGTGCAGTTCTACCATGGAACACATGGGGTTGCCATAAAGGCCTCATTCAAACGCCCATCCAGGAAACGCTGCTCAAGGAGGCAAAGGTCTTCTCTTCCTGCCTGAATTTTTATTTTGCATTGTAAATATTTTTGTTAGCTATTTTAAGTCTTTTTGGGAATTAGGGGTTAGATAAAGAGACCCACAGGCAGAGAGTGTGCTTCTGCCAGTTAGAGGATCAAGAAGGTGATCCCTCACCCAGGGTGGCCGAGGTGCGGCAGATAACCCCCCACACCATCCTGGAGAGCTGGTACTTCCCTACTTGCCTGCTAATACCAAGACATTTCCCGACACACCTAAGCCTCTCTCTCCCTCCCCACCCCCTGAGCTCATGACATTGAATTAATTGTATAATTCACCTAATTGACGATATTGATTGGTGGCCCTGCTAAGAGCAGAGTGTTATTGTTGGTACACAAGTAACATTTATTTTATTCTGGCACTGTAATTACAGGCAGTAGATTAAATTAAATATTAAGCATTAACTTAAAATCAATAGGGTGACAAATCTCATTAAGAGAAAAAAATGTACTATGTAAATTCTCTCCAGAACTTTATCATCATGAATAATGGCTTCATTACAAGAACTGTATAGCAGAGGTGTCTCAAATGGAGTCTGAAAGAAACGTAACGCTAGCAGCTTCTCATTGCGGAGTTAACACCACACAGCGTGATGTTTTCGGAGTCAAAGGGGCTTTGCCCGACATCCTGGGGGAAGCCCTTGGCCCCCACAGCCAGGGTTACTCTCTCCCCGCACTGTATTCGGGTCTGTCTGCTGAAGTGGCTCTCAGCCAGCACTGGCAAAGACTTAGCTTCCTGCTCTCTCTTCCCAATTGCACCTGATCTGTTGTTGCTGTTTCTTATCTGAAGTTGCCTTGCCCTTAGAAAAACCTATGACTTAGCCCCAGTCTTCACTGGATGAGGGAATTCATCCAAAAGAGGCAATAAAAGGTTTTGTCAGTAAGAAAGGGGTACACTTATTCTCTCTCGTTCTTCACTGACAGCTCTTTCCTGGGCGTGACAGATATACAGGCAGTTCTCTCCTCATATCCTGACTACAGTTTTCTCCTTTTTCTCTGACCACTGAACTCATCAAAATGCTCCCAAACAAAGAATTTGGGTAGGCCACCCTCTGAATCTAGAACCACTGCGCTGCTATGGACCACCTTAGCTGCCATTTCCTGGAAAGCAAAATAATAAGAAGTCATTAGGATATTCCCCCACCACCCATCTGTTCGTTTGTCGTGCTGTGGTGGCTTGCGTGTTGCTATGTTGCTGGAAGCTATGCCACCAGTCTTTCAAATACCAGCAGAGTTACCCATGGTGGACAGATTTCAGCAGAGCTTCCAGACAAGACAGACTAGGAAGAATGGGCTGGTGATCTATTTCTGAAAATGAGCCAATGAAAACCCTATGGAGCACAAGAGAATATTGCCTGATACAGTGCTGAAAGATGAGGCCCTAGGTTGGAAAGCACTGAAAATACTCAGTGGCCACAACAACGGGCTCGAGCACACCAACAATCGTGATGATGGCACAGGACCCAGCAACATTTCTTTCTGTTGTACACAAGGTCACCACGCGTGGCAGCCAACTCGCTCGCAGCTAAGAACAAGCCGTTCTCAACGGACAGGTCTCAAAATTTGTTCGCTTGCATTTCCCTCTTCTCCTTTGCTCTCCCTCATTCCAGAGCAGTGAGCCGCCTCCTCCTTCCCATACGTGCTCATGCAAGCTTCTTCCACTCTGTGTGCACGGCCTGCCCACGCTTCTATGTGACCTGTGCACCCTGTACTCACTCCTCTGTCCAGCTGCCTAACAAACCTTGCTTATTTCCCAATCTGCTAAGTATTTCCTTCCGGAGCTGGAGATTCCCAGAATAAGGCGTTTGGAATCCAGAAGGCAATAAAACATAAATTCCCTATGCAAATGAGTGAGGGTGACAGGAGAGGTTGCAAACAAGACATGTTAGCCCAGAACTGAGGTGGCTTGGAAACCGTGACAAATGCCTTTCAAAAGATTCTCCGTGAGCTCTCTTTGAACACTGTACCAGGGTCATCTCAGTTTAACTACATTTTCTTTATAAGCAAAATTTAACAGGGTCAGAAAAGACACAGGAATCAGCCCTCAGACATAAGCCGATGTCCCAGAATCCTCCCCTACCTAAGAGGCTATTTCAGGTGAATCTTATTCTTCAATCAGAACAGTCACTCCTTACCTGATGGTTGAGCCAGGAGCTAGGAATTTCTGGTCGTCCTCGATCTCGCAACACATTGTCCTTCATGCTTTCGACACACGGATGCTCCCGCACCTTGGACCCAAACGGAGGCTCGTAATCTTTCACTTCTGTTAAGAAAGAAGGCAAACGTAGAGCCATTGGTGGAAAAGAGCATGCGGAGATGGCAGGAGGGTGCTATGAGAACTGTGAATCCAAACACACCTAGGATTACGCTAAGAGCAACTTTTAACAGCAGTCCATTAAAAAGAGAAGGAAGGAGTGGTTATGGAAGCAGTTTGGGGAACATTCGATAAATGATTACTGAGTGCTTGCTATGTGCTAGGTATGGTGCCAGCAGGGGAGGCTAGAGGAAAGAAAAAGATGGTCAAGGTCACAGAGCTTACGTCTTAATGCACGTGTTCTCTATGGGGTGATAGTGCCCCCAAACCCGTTGCTGTTGATTCCAACTCATAGCAACCCTATAGGACAGAGTAGAACTGCCCCATAGGGTTTCCAAGCAGCGGCTGGTAGATTCAAACTACTGACCTTTTGGTTAACAGCTGAGCTCTTAACCACTGCACCACCAGGGCTCCTGATATTGCCCCCAGGGAGACAAAAATTGGTTTTTGGGGAGGCAAAATAAATCTTAGATATCAGAATGATTTGTGGCCCTCCAAAGGGCCACACAACATAAACAGATTTAACATGTGGTATAAAAAAATGGCACAGTGGTTAAGAGCTATGGCTGCTACCCAGAAGGTCAGCAGTTTGAATCCACCAGCTGCTCCTTGGAAACCTATAGGGTTGCTGTCCTATGGAGTTGCTGTAAGTTGGAATTAACTCCACAGCAACGAGTTTGATTTTTTTTTTTTGGTATTAAAATTTCATTAAGAGAGGGCAGTGACTGGGGGAAAAAGTCTACAAAGGCTCATTAGGATAGAATCATGGAAAAAAATGCTGAGAAACACTATTTTGTGGAATGACAGAGGGGACAGGTTAACTATAACATCAACAAACAAAATTTTAAAGATAATTTCTCTTCAGTGATACATGCTATAAAGAAAATAATAGATGATGTAACCCTTCACTAGGGTCTCAGGTCTCAACTCAGAGGTCAAATCACCATAGAAACTTACTCGAATCTCCTCCAAGCCTTCCATGGTTCAGCGTTCTGGGGGAAGTTCTATTTTAGCACTTAGCATTTTCTAACATAATTTCCTGTTGATTTGTCTCCCCCAAATAGACTGTGAGCACTTGAGGGCAGGATCAGAGTCCCTTTCTCATCCTTGTATCCCCAGCACCTATGACAGGGCCACTTAGTATTCATTATTTAATGAATGAGTGAATGAATGAATGAGTGACTCTTAGATCATGTCCAAAGTGGCAGTGCACAGGCTCTGTGTAAATATTAAAACAACACACTCATCTGAGTGGGTGGACAATAAACAATTAGTACAACACAGGACAGACTGAAGGACAGAAAACTCTCAAGGACTCAAACATGGATGAGCCGAGAGAGGGGAGAAGGGGTTGGATTCAATATTTTTCTCCAAAGTAAGTAGGATCTTTGATCATTGGCTGTATAATAATCTCGTTTAATGAGTAAAACTTTCAATAATCTGCCCTTCGCAGACTAAGAATTAAAGACGCTTTCAAAGTAAAATGATACTGTGGAAAGGGATGGCTTATCCCTGTGTGTGTCTGTGTATGTTTTTCCCTTTCCAGAACCTTATTTGCATATCTATCTTCTTCAGCCTTGCTCAAATAGAAGGACTGCCAGGGTATTTTCTCTGTGTTCATTTTCGGCCTTAAACGCGCTTGGTACTGAATCCATGCTCTACTGTGGCAAGATCTGAATTTGGTTTGCATAATATGTATGTCTTATTTCTTTCTTCCATTTCCCTGTCTTTCACCAGACTGCAAGTTCCCAAAGGCCCAAGGCAGAGGCTGAGTTTTATGTCTTTAAATACCCTGTTCAGAGCCTAAAACTGTGACCTATACATAGCAGGCATTCAAGAAATATAAGTTGGGTTGAATTCGGGGAAAATCAGAGAACTGGGAATCAGAGCTGGTTCCCAGTAACGGTCCACTCTGACCTACATCTTCTCTCTGATTAAATAAAGGAGCTGAACTGAATGACCTCCATTTTCCCTTCCTAATTTATCTTGTAATCCCATCCGATCAAATAATATTATGCCCTCATTGTGACATGCCTTGAGGCATGTATAATATAAAATAATAGGAGAGGATATGCATATGATATAATATGAAGTGTTCCTTAGATAATGTACCAGTCCACTGACCCTCCATTTCCAGCCTTTTGGCTGCGGTAACAGATGCGGTTGATGCCCTGTTAAATCCTTGTTACTGAGGCAGGTGCACCTGTCCCCAGCTGCTGCAGGTGTTGGGAACTAAGGGCTCGTACCTCCACCCTTCTCTGGAGGACTGTCCCTGGCTGATGGGGGTTGCTTAGCCTGGAGATTCCAGGAACATGGCCGCCTGCAGCCAATGACTGATGACCGTGGAGTTTAATTCTCTAGCCCCTTTGCCTCTGGGTGGGATCGCTCTGGTACAATCCACGCTCCAGAGCTCCTTCTTCCAGATTCTGCTTCTAGCGAAGCTGGCCTGAGACAGCAGCCGGGAAGTGCTCTCCCCTTTCTCTCCAGGTGTCCCCCTCAGCTAAACTGCACCATCTAACCTTGGTTGCAGAAGAGGCCCTGAGGAGGCCCTGATCTAGCCTCTTCTTGAGAAGCTGAAAGTACTAAACCATCAGCTAACACAATGTTCAGAATGTTTTAAAAATAGGATCACAATCAAGAGAGGGAAATGCCGGGATCGGAATCAATCCCAGGTATCCGTCTCATTGCCGATATTCCTTGAGAACAAAGAAAAAGTCTCTGTAGTTGAGATTACAACCCAGGCCCAATTTATTTCAGTGCAAGTCCTAATCTTCAAGGTCACGCTCAGCATTTAATTTTATAATTTCTGTGTGGACCAAAGCAGGTTTGCATGGGGAGAAGGGGGGTGGGTGTGTCAAGGGAGGGTTAGGACCGATTGCCACCAGGCATCAGGAATGGGGGTATTTTGTGGTTAAAGAGAAAACAATGAAGGTTTCTGTAGAAAAGAAGACAAAGGTTATCATCCTTCCCCAAAGCAAAGAGGGCACTAACTGGGTTACTTCCTGCTTTTCCTAAAACCCTGGCAAGTTAGGAGATTCCAGTATTCTCAAGGGATATGAGGCCTGTTTCTGACTTTGACTGGTGGGAGATTTTATATGGAAGGGAGGTCAAAGGTAGTCTGAGGGAGGCTGGCGAAGGGGCTGACTCCCTGAGCCATACAGGAAGGATCTATGAAGTCTTCTGCTCCTCCTCGGTCTAAGGTGTACATGACTGGGATGATCCTTATTTGACCCAAACTTGCAAATTCCAATTGCTAAACGTTCATGCCTTAATATTAAAGCAGTCTTTCAGATTAGGAGTGGGGATGGAGATTTGAAGTGTATGCATGTTTTAAACTGACATTTCTTCAACTCCTGGGTAATGTCACATATATATTATATATGCATTATTTATATAATATATAGTTTCCAAAACAACTGAACACACTTTTGCATTATTTTTATTACAGGTTTTTGCAATTTCCCCTTCTTTGCCCTTCTCCTTCATTTTGAACATCCTACTCCTACTCATATCTTTTTAAATCATGCCTTGTATTGCATATAAAGGAGTCCCTGGGTGGTGCAAATGGTTAAGTGCTCGACTGCTAACCAAAAGGTCAGAGGTTTGAATCTACCCAGAGGTGCCTTGGAAGACAGGCCTGGTGGTCTGCTTCTGAAAGGTCCAAAACCAAAAACCCAACTCGTTGCCGTCAAGTTGATTCCGACTCATAGCGACCCCTATGGAGCAGTTCTACTCCGCACACACGGGGTTGCCAAGAGTCAGAATTGACTCGGATGACAGCTAGTTTTCTCGTTTTCACTGTGTCTAAAGGTGAGTTCATGCCTGGAAGTTTGTATCCATTAGCCTCTCAGTCACAGCTGAGTCTCGGCTTTGATATTTGATTGGGACAATGATAAAGGACCAACAAGAGGCTGCGTTGCTTTTTACTTTCTCACTCTTCTTGGCCATTATGGCCATTCCTTTCTCTGGGCCTCCATCAGGACTTGGAGGATGGCCATTTCTAGACAGTATACTGGAAGCCCTTACCTACTGGAGGCCACTTCCTAATGGTTCCTCAGTTCTTCTAACAGTCCTCAGAACACCATGGACATTTGCTTTGACTCAGCAGAAAAAGAGGGCACACACATCGGGTGGAGCTGAGCCTGGGACAGGACGTAAGAGGCCAAGAAGTACCCTGCCAGCAAGGTGGGGATGGATGGTTCTTCCCAGGATGAGACCTCAGGTACCTAAACCCCAACAGTCCTGGGGAGGTGAGCAGAGCTGGTGACTGGCAAAAAATTGATGGCTGAGAGCTTTGCATGCTTCAGCTTTCTCCCCATGGATGCAAAAATGTAGAGGCTGAGATGCTTATGGCACTTTGACAAAATTGCTCACTCCAAACAGCATATCTTTACCCTATCTATTTTTCATGGAGGTTGAAATATTTTCATTTTAGAAAAGGCATGTAATTAAAAATATGAAATTTCAAAGTATATTTGTATAGAGAAAAGAAAATCACTCCCCTACCCCTACTTCCACAAAAGTGGTTTAGGTGGAACAGTGGGATTAAAGGTAATTTAAACTTTCCCCTTACATTTATAAACAGGTGCTTCTCAACCTACTTTTTATAAAAGACCAGGGTTTCCCCCCCCCCTTCCCCTTAATCCACCAGGGACTGAGTCTCTGGTAAAACACAGGGGAAATGAGTTACAAGAAAAATGAAATCCCGCGTGGGCGCTGTGGCACGTCCAACTGCTAAGGAAGTTTCTAAACACCTACTCTCACTTTCTGTACATCAGCTCACAAATCTGGAACAGAGTTTGAGGAATAGCACCGGTCTGCAAACCCCACTTGAAGCAATGTCGGTCTACGTGTTTTGCCAAGAACATGAATTGCATTTTGACAGAGGAAAGAGAATACAAGTTATTAAACAGATTGTAAGGGTTTCACATGAGTCAGACGGAGAGTGT